ATCCATAGACATCAGGTCTGAGAGGACTGAGGGGAGAGAGAGGCAAAAGTTCACAAGGATCAATAAGTGCTTTATGGTCCAGATCAGATGTGCATGGTAGCCCTTAAAAACCCCAACTACCACTAAGAGGCAAACAGGAAGGGGAAACACAACAGCACTTCATCAAAGAGAAATATGGAGCCTATAAAACATTTGTCTAATACAGTTGCTGGTTTCCTGCATTGACATTTGTATTAATATTCAGAAATGTAAGCATTTAAGGCATATACTTCCCCCAAAGCATTTACACTAGTGTGCTATTCGTATTTATCTAGGATGTATCGTCAATGTTTTGGTTTTAAAATACTTTGGGGGAAATCAATTTTTCATGTGAACATGTCCATTGCGTTATTTTMCTTGCAAGCTAAGCTAAAACAGATAAAACATGAGTGAAATCAAAAAATAAACAAAATGCATGAACATTTTTAGATTTGAACTGCTGTGCTCTGTGGTGCCAAATTCAAASTCAGATGCAAACAGCCCGGGTTCTTTGGAAGCAAATAAGAGACCTCACAGATTATGGTGCAGGAAAATAACTTGTATATTATCACTGTGTAATATTTAAAATGAAAACAACCTTATTAGCATTGAACAGAAATACATTAATGCATCTTATAATCTTTACTGCTGTTTTGATGAATTCTTTCTGTTTTGTGGATGTATGCCTTTCATCTGAAGTGCTCACTGTGGACTCACACAGGGCAGAGGAGAGGACAAATAGATAAAATGAAGAGAAAAAATACATTTGATTCTAATGAATAGACCAAAAAAAATTGAAAACTTATAGTGTAATTTATGACTATGATGAGCACTAAACTTAATCATTATTATATTTTTTTTCTTTCTTACCGACAAAATATATTTATTTGATAATGTTTGCTGATGTTGTATCTAAATATATGTTAAAAGTATAACTTATAAATGTGCTTTTATAATAAAACAGTGAATAGGGGAAGACTGCAGGCAAGAAAATAAGTTAATAAGACTCATTAACATGTTCATATGCATACCACGTTTGTTGTACTAAAATAAATTTAGTCCATAATTGGATTAATTGAAAAAAATAAAATAGAAAAAATATTATTATTATTATTTTTAAATAGAAAAAAAATATTAAAAGTTGTGTGTTTTATGTTAAATGATTAAAAAAATGTTTAATCTATCTTATAAACAATCCCTGCTTTTGAAAAAAAAAATGTGTCGAGTTACTACAGTCTAGTTTGGCAAGCATAATGCACAAATAACCACTACTCCCTACTGAGGAGTAGTGTTACTTGTAGCAGCAAGAAGAATGATTTTTGGCTGGTAAATAAGACGTTGATGCTGTTACCTGCTGTACAGTCTGAAAGGAGGAAAAAAACATAATAAAGTAAACAATCTAGCTGATTTGCGCACCTCCAGTTTTTTTCACAAACACAACTGGCAGCATTTTTTTCCTAACAAAATAGTGTTCATTTGAAGCTACTAGCTGTGACTGTAAATATTGAATAACCATGTCAACTGTGTCAACAAGGTCAACAGGTCCTTTCACATTGAAAACAATTATTTAAAAGATTTCTGACTTGAGCATAAAAAGACAAATAGATTTCTGCCATCCTAAAACAACCCTAATCTCAAACATTTTACACCTGCGCCTGTAAAGRCTATTTAAACTTTTACACCACTGTCAGTTTTACATCACACAATCACTCTGGCAGAAAAAAAAAAGATGAAATTCCTGCCCCATGCTGCAGTAAATGTGCTACAGCTGACTGCCGCTGCTTGCACTGCAAACCAGAAAACTGTGTGTAAGTAAATATATGATGCAAAACTGACAGCAATGTAAAAACTTCATGCAGCTCACAATAGTTTCAAAAAAAACTTTGAGATTTTAAGTTGTTTTAAGATGGCAGCAATACATTTAGGTCTTCAAAAAGTTATCTGCAACAGGTACAATATTATTTATTCAAACAGTTTCTCCATCTGAATCAGTAAAACTGAATTTAAAAAAAAAACTTTTATAGAAAACTTAACTTCAAACTGTTTTAATGATCACTTACTAATCTTCAAAATAAATGTCATTTGAAGAAAAAATATACTTTTACTGCCTCCAAACAATGGAAATACTGCCAAATTAAACGTTAAATCCCTAAAACCAAAAGAGCTTTAAAAACGTACTGGACTTCTGAAGAGACTTCTGCTTCTGTTTATTCATGATGTTGAGCACTGTTTTTTGTTTCGAATTGGACAAATAACCCAATCTGGTAAAGGCAGAACATRATAACTGAATCTTGTACTTTCTCCTCTTTGCATTAACATCCAGACACTTTGTTAAGCTTGTAAAGTTAGACTAATAGATTTCCATTATGATGACAACTCTTACAACAGCAAAAAACATGATAAAGTCCAATCAGAGGAAAATCAATGTAATGTTGCAACATCAACAGTTCTCTATTTGTTGTTCTCAGGACTGCTGACATAATGCTTCTGTGTCATGCTGACTCCTAAAACAAGATAAATGCTTTGTGCCAAATTAATAGAACAGCAGAACAATTAAAAAGTCAAAGCGTTTGACAAGGTTACGGGTGTATAAAATTGACCTTAAGTGGTCATGGGATATTGCTACGATACATCAACAATCTATTACCCTAATCAATTAAACTGAATTATGCAATAAGAGGCGAGAACAGGCATGAGACWCTGTGTAAGTAGTATTGTAAGTAGTGCACTATGGTGGAACTGAGTGCCAGAAGAGGAGCTCAGACAGATGGCTTTGTGAACACACGTGACTCACCTAATGCTGTTTGCGACTTATCAGCTAATAGGGAGGGGAGCTGATTGTGTCTCTCAATTATCCTGGCAGATGAAAGTAACGAGCAAAACAACAGATATACCGCCTCACTAAATGGGCTCTAATGGGAGAGGCAGAAACCGGAGCGGGAAGGATGGGCAAAACAAAACAAAAAAAAGCAGAACAAGGAGGGAGGTGGGGTGGCTGGTCAGACCAAAATGACATGTCAGGAGATGCTCTAGTTTTTCCTGTATTCGAGAGGGATTGGGTTCAGATTTTTTTTCCTAAATGACTTATATCCTTTCATCCTGTGCTTTTGTTTTGTCCGCTCTTTGTGAAGGTAGATCTTTAAAGGGTATGTTAAAGTACACTTTTAAGCAATTTGCAGAGCTTTTCAAAAGAGCAAAACAACCTTTCTAACAAAAAAATGAACACACTTATTTTTCTGGGCTTGTTTCAATGCGAATTAGAATGAAACACAAAGCAAAAGAATGAAATAAATTCTGATTATTTTGCATTTCAATTCCTGAGCTACTCTGTGCTATAGGAACACTTTCACCAAACACAACTGTAACAAAACAAGATGAAAAATAGCAATACTAATTTGGTTGTTGTTGCATGCGCCAGTTCACAAACCATGTAAAATGCTTTTGGCACATTGTTTATTGAACAGCGCAAAAACACCTTTTATTCTTTTTACATTTGGCAAATTTGGTTGAGAATTTTATACCAGAGGGAGGATGGA